ACGCTGCAGACTCGTTGAAAAAGCCGTACCTCTGTAAGTTCTCGGTTGTCATGAGCAACCTTGCGTCGTGTCTCTCTCTGGGTAGAAAGCCAAATGCTACAATCCTGTCTGGGTCTACGAGCAGGTTTAGACTGGTCGTTCTGTTAACTGTCAAGGAAAGCAAACGGCTCGTTAGCAAAAAGCAAAAATCGAACTGAGCTCAAAAGGAAACAGAACCTACTCGGATCCTGGAAACGGCTAATGCCGTCATAACGGAAAAAGAAAAACTTTGTATCGTATGCTCCTGCATTGCTCGGATAGTTATGTATCCCAGCCTGTATTGTGTTTCGTCTGGACAAGTATAAGGAATCCTTGTCCTTGCTCCTTTTTAAGAAATACGAGCAGCCGAGCTCAACCGCGGTTAGCTCGCCCAGTCCATTCTCCCGACACGTGATGTACATGGCAATGGCGATCATGTACGCGTTCGGGGTAAGCTGCATCGGTGCGATCCCGAAATGATCGAGGACCGACCTGGTGAAAGGGTGGAAAGGAATCAATCCCTCACCCTTAAAGATATCTTCGGAGATCACAGCGAACCCACGTGGTGGATCCCGGGCAGTATATGCCACCTCGTGGAAGTCATCTACCCTGACAGCGAACTGGCTAACTACCCTTCGCAGCTCGTCAGCGGTAAGCGCCAAGTAAATTTCTTGAGGGGGGTCTGCGAAAGCACCCTCTATGGGCAAGTTAGCCCCTTCCTCGGCTCTGGTCGTTGGGAGGTCCATTTTGCAATCTGCAGAAGTGACAAAAGGGTACCATTCAGTCTTCGTACATTTTCGTACGATGACGTGGGTGAAAAGTTTTCCTCTTTAAACCCATAAAAACCCTAACAAGTATACTTAGAGCCTTCAGCGGCTCCAACCCGACGAAGAACATGTCATCTCCGATGAGCTACCAACGGACAGCCATCGCACAATGACTGTCAAAAGTTAAAGACATTAAAGATAAAAAGGAAGTCATCTATACCTTTGAAAATGAGAAGGATTGACTCTTCTGTTCCAGATATCAAATAAACGCCGCTCTGAAAAGCAAGGAATCAAGAACGGCAAAGGTTTCTTGTTCTCTGAAAATGAAAATGTTGTGGCTTCACCTGAAGAAGGTTTGGGGTTTTTATAATGGAGGAAGTGGCGCTTTGGTTTCCCGAAATCAAACGACGTTTGAGCGAAAAGTGCATCTGACTATTGATCGCGACCATGTGTCACGAATCAACGAGGAAGAGTGACCATCACGCCTTAGGAAACCAGACCGTCACCCCCTCCCGTTGAAACGCTCAAGCGACAGCACGGTTTCCCTTTTCCGCATTTAATACGCCCACTGTCGCATTCAATGCCCCCACTGTCGCATTCAATGCCCTGATAAGGAATGTCGTTTCAACATGTTTCGCATTTAATGTGCATAGGTGATACTTATTGCGCAAAGGACATGTCTGTCAGAATAAAGAGCATTTCATTTAATGCGCTCACAGCTAAAGGTGCAACAGATATCTGAAGAAGTCGTTACCAGCAACATTTTTCGTCGCTAGTCACGAGGCGATGCGACTCTTCGAACCTCATCAGTCGTGAAGCGACCCGATTGCTCGACCATCTTGCAACGATCGCGAGGCGACCTGATTGTTCGGGCTGCAACAATTGCGAAGTGATGTGACGCCTGCTGCGAAGCAGCATGGCTATTCGTCCTAAAAAGTTACCAAGTGAGAACAGGTCGAGAATCTCCTCAGGTCGGGGTCACCACTAGCATCGAGTACCCGAGGCCAGGTCGCTGGCCACGAGGTCACAGATCCTCAACTACCTGAGAGTGTCTCGATCTCCTTTACAAACAGGTCGTAGCGACCAGCATCTCTTCGGACACCAAATCGAGGCATTTATAGTTTCCAAGGTTCGATTCTCAAACCTTAAAAACTAGGGGACTTCTGTTATGCCTGGGAAAATAGGGTTGACGTGGCACTTAGTTAAGTGCGAAAGGTCAGACCTCGAGAAGAGTCCGCTGACATTCTGGCACAGCCGCGTCGCGTGATGATGCAAGCAGCACACTCCTGTTAGTACAGTGGGTGTGCGCCAGACTGAAAAAAGGCTAGAGGATGTCCACGTGTCCAATCCCTGCAGCAAATCGCGTGAATTACTCTAGAAGGTGGGCAATGTGACATAAAGAAGGATTTGCATGGATAATCCCACCAACTCACAAATTCAATAATGATAACCTTAATCCATCCCACTATAAATTGGGAGCTCTCCTCTCATTTGAGAGATTAGCTACCCTCTCTCTAGAACATACAACATTTGATACCTTGTATTATCATTGTAAAGTCAGTTGGCTAAAGCGACCGGACCCTTATCATTAATACAAACATCAGTGGACGTAGGACTTGCTTCCTTAGCATCCGAACCATTTTAAAACTCCTTTCTCACTGTATTTGCTCTCGATTCTTTTGCTTTCACGTGTATCTTCTGGACCAGCTCAGCATCTCACACATGCGTTTCGTTAGTGTCAAAATCACACATCAACAAATGTGATGACATTTAAAATAATTAATTTTGATAAATGATAAATAATATATATAATACTAAATTAACATGCATCACATAATGAGAGAGTGTAGACAAAATTAGATAAGCGGCAATGGCCTCCCAGCCGCAGGTCTTCCTACCACTACCAGGGATAATTCCTGATCAGAAGCAGTTTGACAATGTATGTAAGGTATCATTGCAAAAGAAAAGATCAAGTCAAGTAGATTATCAATGACAATCTTAAAAATATAATTAATTAGTCGGTCACAGTAACTTACACCGTCAATGTCATACACAGTTCTTATCCTCCTACCTTAAAATATTAACATCTAATTTGCTGAGGCAAAAGTAACACAAAAGCTATTTGATTTCTTAATTAGTTAATTGTATTTTTACTTTATCTTTTAAGATTTGTATTTGATTCATGCATGATGCTTTTTGTGTTTATCCTTTAAAATTTTGATAATGTTAATATATGCAAGGAGGATGACTTTTACCTGGTGAAAGATATTTTCAGCTTTTCTTTATTCCACAATTAATCTATATTTTGCTTTGGTCACATTTGAAGACAGAGTTGAGATTTGCTATACCTGTAGCTTTCTTAGTTGGGATATTTTTATTCTATTAATATATATTATGAATCACATTATCACTTAAGCCAAGAGCGCGACCGACGTTTCTCAAAGCTTATGTGATTATGATATTATGTCCCATCTTATTGATTAATTTAGTTGACCAAAATTAAAAATAAATCTACCATTACAGGATCCACCATGGTTGTCACATACAGTTGTCATTAAAACACGATATTTTGCAATTTTGTAATGATATTAATAGTTATTTAAAAGCTTATATGAATATATTTTCCTCAAAGGAAAAGATATGCATTATTCAGAATTTGAAAACCAATTCACAATCCTCCATCAATGAGCTCGAGGCTTTATTTATTTTTTCTTTTTATCTTTAATTTTACATGTCATTTATGGCTCTGAGTGACTGAGTCTGGTCTGACCCGGTACATATATGAATATCTTTAAAGCTTTACAAAAGTTTAAAAGGAAAATTAATAAATAAAAAAAATCCCAAGACCAACGGAATTAACGGGTTTTGTGGAGCCCAAAACATCCATTTTACTAAAGGGATGCGGTGAATTCTGCAGAGAAACTGAGAAAGCCGAAAAGGAAAAGGAGGAAGCAGTACCAGAAGAACACATTGAACCCCATAAAGCTATAGAGCTAACAGTAAATCTCTCCCAATTACAATTCAAAACCATTACTTCTTCTTCACCACAATCACATACTTTTCTTGAGAAAATAGTTATTAATTATTAATATATTTATTTAATTATATATATCCCCATCTCAATCATGCCACCGCACTCGCTAAATGCTTACCTTCTTGGCAGTGTGAAGAATTATTCAAGCCTGACAACGCATAAATAATTACATTGAATATGATAATTAATTAATTAAGGATTTTGTTTGTTTGGGAGGGTAATTGTTAGGTACACCATTTTCATCATATCACCTTCAAAATCAAACAGATTCAGATTTGAGAATCTTTGTTTTTGGTGTTGTGAACACTACAGCATTTTCATTTTGTGCTGTCACAACTCCATGCTCTTCACTGCATTTTCATCGATATAATATTATTCCTTCTCCTTTTGCTTCTTTTTCTCTTTTTATATATGCTTTTCTTAGTACTGAAGGCCGAATATTTTTAAGTTGGTCATTAATAGCATGTTCTTAATCAATCTTTCTATATTTTCATCAAGAACCATAACTCAGATATGAAGGAGAAGAGGAAGATTAATTATATTACTATAACTGGCCAGTTATATAAAAATACGTATTCAGTAAGATACTTAATACGATTGGCTATAGATTTTGATATATATTATTCGCTTTAATTTAATTGATTCTGGAAAACGTGACTTAAAATGAAGAACATTTTTTAGCAGAAGTCTCCAATAATTAATTTTGGCAATTTCTCTTAGTATCATTTCCAAAGGTCCACGTAAAGCCAGCAATTTAATTTCTGATTCTAATCCACAGATGCTTGCTACATATCTTTTATTTTCTTCTTTATATTTTACAGCAAGGAGGAAAATGACTCCCACTATTGATGCATGCATAGCCTTTACATCTCTCCTTCTGGTTTTTAAGTATATCTATGAATATGCCTTAATGCCATCTATCCATCTGCAATTGACTATGACCACCACCTCTCAAATCTCAACCGTCCATTTTGATGATAAGGCTAGACTTGTGGTGGGTTGTAGAAGGAACATTGACGTTCCTTCATTTTTTTTAAATTTTAACTTATACCGACCTGGATTTAAACAAGGAATATTTAAAAACATCAAAAAGACTATATAATAAAGAGTTTCATTTAGAGTTCATTTGGCATGAATTTAGTCCTCATTTGGTGAGGTCTATTTAAGGAGGCCAAGTTCGCCAATGTAGCTCAGGAATAAAGGTCAGTAGGTGGCTTCCATTGGTGTTTGCTGCTTTACTTTCCCAAGGCTCCTCAAAACACCAATCTTGTTTAATCTCTCAACATTTTCCAGCCATCTCAAAAGCATTCAATAACCTTAAAACAAACAAAAATCAACGTGATGGCCCCAGAAATTCCTGTAGATGTCTTCTCGGGCAGCGGCAAGATTTCTACACTGAACACGGGCTATTCAAAAAGGGCCTACGTGACATTTTTAGCCGGCAATGGCGATTATGTTAAAGGAGTGGTTGGGTTGGCTAAGGGTTTGCGCAAGGCAAAAAGTGAATACCCTCTAGTTGTTGCAATTTTGCCTGATGTCCCCGAAGAGCACCGTGAGATCTTAAGGTCTCAGGGATGCATCGTTCAGGAAATCGAGCCTATTTATCCCCCACAAAATCAGATTCAATTTGCCATGGCTTACTATGTCATCAACTATTCCAAGCTTCGCATATGGAATGTAAGTAATATACATGATATTCTCTTATATTAATATTCTCACTTTTTTTTTTTTTGTGAACCTTAACACCATACACACGAGTATATACTGTGTATAAAGAATTACAAAGCTACTCTTTTAGGTCTCTATCAAAACAAAATCCTCATCATCGTGTTTTTTATTTGGAAATTAAGCACATATACTTAATACTTCTCTTTTTCAGCATAAGTTCGTATATATTTTACTACAATAAAAAATCCCATCAAGATGTAATTCATAACTTGGTTAACCGTACGTTATTTATATATCGAAAATTCATATAACTGGGATTTTATCGGCCGAGATGGGTTACATGGGTATAGACAGGAGAGCATAAAAATCTAAATCCATTTGTTGTTATTGTGAACAAATATTTATATAAAAGTAAGATTATTTACTAAACGATTGGTTGGCACACATGCACGAACCTCACAAGTTTTCGATTTGACCATGCATATTCTCAATCGATCGTTGGTTGACCCCAATATTTTTTGTCCCTAGCGAACAAAATTGTGAATTTAAGACTCGTTGTTTTATTAAACGGGGCAGTTCTGGATATTATGAATTTTGATATAGTTAGGTTTATCTATGTTTACAGTTCGAGGAGTACAGCAAGATGATATACTTGGATGCCGATATTCAAGTGTTCGAGAATATTGACAATCTTTTCGACATGGCAGACGGGTATTTCTACGCCGTAATGGACTGCTTCTGCGAGAAGACATGGAGCCACTCGCCCCAATTCTCTATTGGGTATTGCCAGCAGTGCCCAGATAAAGTTACATGGCCTGCCAAGATGGGATCTCCTCCTCCTTTGTACTTTAATGCCGGAATGTTTGTGTTCGAGCCTAGCCGTTTAACCTATGAAAATCTTCTCGAGACTCTTCAGATCACTCCACCAACACCCTTTGCTGAGCAAGTGAGTTCAATAATTAATTTCGAACTTAAATATATCTCTAGAGATCTTCAAAGATATAATATAACCATGGACTTTCTTTCAGAGGTTTTTATGATTTTATTATATTCATCTTTTTATTGTATGGGTTTGACAGGATTTCTTGAACATGTTCTTCCAAAAGGTGTACAAACCTATTCCACTGGCCTACAACTTGGTTCTCGCTATGTTATGGCGCCACCCTGAGAATGTGGAGCTTGAGAAAGTTAAGGTGGTGCACTATTGTGCTGCTGTAAGTACTCTTTTGCCTTCAAATTATACAATTCTTTTTAAAGAATCCTTTTATTTCAGACTCTTAACCTCCTTTGATTTTCTTTTTTGTAAACTAAAATAGGGTTCAAAGCCCTGGAGGTATACTGGTAAGGAAGTTAATATGGACAGAGAGGACATCAAGGTGTTAGTGGAAAAATGGTGGGATATATATAATGATGAGTCTCTTGATTTCAAGGCAGAAAATCCTGCTCCTGAAGAAGAGACGTATTCAAGGGCATCCATCATCTCTACTATGCCGGAACCTGCCATTTCTTACATTCCGGCTCCCTCAGCCGCTTGAAAAGTCGCTTGATTTGAAGAGAGCGTTTAAATTGTTGGTGTACTACTAGCAGATGCATATATACTTTTTTTAGGCTACTTGGCCTTTCTTTGTTGCGAGAGTTCATACAAAGCCAGTATGGTATGACTCTTGGTAATGTGTTTGATCTAAGTTTCTTAAATGTCTACAAGAATGTGTAAGTTTTGTCTAATATAAATATATATATAATTATAAGAAATTCCGTATAGCTTCCCCTTGTTTGTCATTAAATATAGAGGACATTCCTAGGTCTTAAAGAGATTATAATTCTTGTTCATTTCAACCTTCGAGACGCTTTGCCACCACATCGATTCTTCTGTAAAAATAAAAATAAAAATAAAGGGATCAGAGTCAGACTGGAACCTTGAAGGTAAGAACTTTCTACAACTTTGTTTTTAACCAAAGGGAAAGGGGGTGAGATAATAAGTGATTATAAAAGTGTTTAAATAAACTAATAATAATAAGCGATTATATTAATATAATCATCAAATCACATCAATAATAATATAAAGTGAATATCATTTCACCAAAAAAAAAAAAAATGTGGGAGTGAAATGTAAAAAATTTCATGGAGAATGTATTGAGATGGGTTGTATTTGTAAAGAATTAAAGATAAAGATGAAATTTCTAAGAAAGTGTAAGGGTAAAATGGGAAAGAATGTTTATTTATATGAGCTATAAGGGTTTAGCCTTACCAGCCTCCCATTCTCTACACCCCATACATCACTTCCACAGAATAAGAAAAAAGAGAGAAAAGAAAGAAAGAAAAAAAAAGAAGAGCTTGAGCAAGAAAGAAAAGAAAAGAAATCGAATAAGAAAGAAAGAAAAAAAAAAATGCATTACTGCATATGCATGTCATTCATGCATGTTATCATGATTTTCATCATGGTTAGTGAATAAAAAAGAAAGAAAGAACAAAAAGAAGAAAGAATAGAGAGAAAAGAAATAGAGAGAGTTAGAAAGAAAAAAAGAATAGTGAGAACTAGAAACAATGAAGAAAAGAGAAAATAAAGAAGAAAAAAATAGAGTAAGGAAAGAACTCAAATAAGTCGTGGGGATGGAAAGAGTAGATGATTTGCTTATTGAACATTGTGCTTATCTCGTTTTCCATGTTTTGCAAGAAAATGTGAGAGACGGTTGGATGACGTCAAGAAGCAGAGAGAATGGCACCATTGTAAAAGCTCTTGTATATGTTATTTTTGATATATGTAAAGAATTATATGTTGTAAAGAAAAATTTGGGTCCATCTACTTTTCATTTAGTAAGTATGCATGTTTTCATAGCATATTTTTCTAAGCTGCTAGTAGGAAAGAAGTTATTACAACCCGTGACCCGGGCAGTAAACGGGTTGCCCCTGATCCGAGTTTTAAACAAGGATGAATGTTGAACATCGGAATCACTTGGAATTGGGTTGGGAAAATCAACCAAATCGCGACAGTATACATGACTATAGCCGACAAATAGGGGGCTACTAAGTTTTGGGGTTAGAGGGGTTTATAAAGTGAGAAGGGTGTTCAGGTGGTGGTGTTAGATTGAATTTTGGCCACGATTTTGTCAGAAAAGTCAAAACGCAAACAGATCACAAGGGTAAATTTGCTAGATTTTAAACCTGTAGGGTTGATAATTTTAGGGGTGTTTTGCAAGATTTAAACTTTTTGGATGACCAATTAGGCCGTCGGTTTAACTGGTCGGAGTGGTCAACCCAGGACCCGATGGCCTTATCGAGTGCCTTAACGGGTCTGGTTTTAAAAATATGGTTGACAGTTGTATACAATTTTATTTATTGGTTTGTTGGAGTCCATTGCTAAATTTAATCTATAGTTTTAACAAATTATTTTCTTGTACGCAAGTAGTGAAAAACATGTTTGGTATTTTATTGCAAAGTGTTCTTTTACTTGGATTCCTAACTTCAATCAACATAAAAATTACCCCATGCAATTATTACAAATAGTTAAGCAAAATTTGTCATAACTAAAAGTGGTCACCCATTTTCTCATCATAGTCATAGTTAGATAACTCATTACGTGTATGGAGAACTCTTATGAATTTGACCTATTTTTAACCTTTATTTTTATTTAATGATTAATAGAAGAAATTATCAATTAAGGTATTAATTTTTAGCCTTTTTCAATGGAAAGACCGAAGTCCCAATTGTTTAATTAAGAGATGTTTAATTAAGGGACATCTAATTTACTGTTAACTTCAACAAAAATGATAAAATAACTTAAATGCCTTTGATTTTTTCTTTTCTCTTTTTTGGAAGTTAGTTTTAGCTCTTACAATAATTTAAAAATTAAAAAAAAAAAAAAGAAAAAAAGACTAAGACCAATTTTTTTTAGGGATATCAAAAAATAAAATAAAAATTAAGAAAAATATAATAAGCTTTTTTTTATTTTTATTTTTTTTATTTTTATCTTTGGTTGTTTTCTAATTTTATAAAAAATATAATTAAACATTTTCTAGTTTTCTTTTTCGTTTAGTGTTTTTTATTTTTAATTTTTATTTGTAAAAAATAAATTTGTTCAATTACGCATTTACCCTTATAAAAGCTAATCTAACCCTAAGTAACTATTACTGTCTTTAATTGAAAATTTGTAACTTATGTCTTTCTAATAAAATTTGAAAAGTTTGTACCCTAACTAATAATATCCCTATGTCTGTAGTTTTAGGTTATGAGTTTTTGTCTCAATGATAAAATAAACGAACAAACCACTACTGGGTGGCCCTGTGGTCAACTAGGATTCTTGGGTGTTACTCAAGAAGTCCTAAGTTCGATCCACTTGGATTGCTAATAGGGATGACCATTGAGAGGATTTACCCGGTTTCAACTTCAAGGCCTTGACATTAGTTGAGTTAGAATTCCACAATCATGTCATGTGCTTTTGTGGGAGTTAATGGAAATTTTAGTTCTTACGATGGTAAAATATTATAGTCCCCATATTCTAGAAAATAGTGACATTTACCCCCTTATTGTTAAAATCCATTAGTAAAACCTAGAGGTGGGCAGGGACCGGTCCCAAGCAGGCCCAGGCCTGGGCTCGTTTGGGACTGGTCCCTTTGGACTGGTCCCAAATGGGACCAGTCACTCATGGGCCTAGGATCGGTCCCAGGCCCATGAGAAAAATTAGGACCCGGACCAGGCCTTACGCCTGGTAGGGACTGGTCCTATGGGCCCAGGACCGGTCCTAGGCCAGTCCCATGGGGCTTGGAAAATTATTTTTCCCCCCTCAATTTTTTTATATTTTGGGGCAAAATGAAATTTTATGAGGGTTTTTTAGGGTAAAATTTATAAATTTTTAGACATGGAAGATTTTTTTTTTTATAAATTTGTAAAATTTTATTTTAGCCTCTTAATTTTATTTATTTTCAAATTAACAGGGGGTTTTATGAATTTGGCAGGAGACTATATTGAAAAAATATAAATTTTTTGGGCTCAGGCCTGGGAATTGGAGGAGGGCCTAGTGGAGGGCTCGGCCCTCCTCCTTAGGCCTAGTCCTGTTTTGGGACAGGCCTCCTAGTCTGGTCCTCTCGAGACCGGTCCTAGGACCGTTTTGGAGCTGGGCTTTTGGCCCGGTCCCAAATGCCCAGCTCTTAAAACCATTAAAAATTATGTCAAAAAACTCAAATACCCTTAAATATAACGAAATTAAATTCTTATCTTTCCAAATAAAAAAATCAACATGAATTTTTTTCCAAAATTGTTTGATTACTAGGCAAAACATGAATCTTTTAAACAAATCATCTCAATTAAATCTCAAAATAAATAATGGAGGTTATATTAAAGGTATTTATACATGAGTATGCCACTCATCCCAAACATTATCAAAATTTTACATTCCAAATGATGCATCAATATATGTGTATTAACATATCGTTCAATACATCATATTTTATACATGTCAATACCACAAAGGATAACAAATTACAATACTTATGATATGAATTTGGGATAAGTTGTTGGGAAAATGCTGTTATTGTTTATACTTTATTGTCAATATTCCTTCATTAGTTATATTTGTGTAATAGTTGTTGAATTTATGAGAATAAATGCCATTTCCAAAAATCTTGTATCAAAACGTCAACTTTTAGAACATGAGACTGAAATTTTCACCGACTAAAATAGTTTTTCTCTTTTCTAAGCACTGCAGCTAATTTACAAAAAAACTTGTTCTGTTTAGGAAATACTCTGAAGGTTTTGTTTCTTTAAACCAGAGGGAGTTTCCTTTATTTAAACTATGGTGCTGCTTAGTCTATTTCCCCTACTGCATATAAGTTATACCTCTTCGTCTCTCTCTCTCTCTAGCTCTCTCTGTTTTTTTTTTTTTTCTCCAAAAAAAAAAAAAAGCAGCCTCTTAAATCCTCCACCAAACATGGTTGCGATGTGTCCTAGTCAAAAAATATTTAATTTGCATGTTGAGATATTTCTAGTACTCATAGACAATCTTAAATCTAAACGTTATTGAAATTTTCTTTTAATTGGGTAATACTACATGTATAAAAAAATTTGCAAAGATTTTTTTGTACAAAATGATGTGACGAAAATGAATAGAAGATAATATGAGGTTTAATTTTTTGCATTTTTTTTTAATTCACCTCCGATCACATCACGTTTTACATAAATCTTTATAAATTTTTTGCACATAAAGTATTATTGTTTAATATATGTACAGGATAGTAATTATGTGGTGGTGATTTTGGACGTGTTGATTCTGTTGCGTTATGTGCATTAGGAAACTACTGTTTCTGAACCCAATCGTTTCCCATCATGAAATAAACCTAAAAAAGAAAGAAATAATCACTAATTTCTCAACACACACACTTGTGAATTAACCACACGCATCAGAAAATTCGAAGGGCATGCTTTCCAATGAAGAGGGATTGGTTGTTTATGCACCACACTGAGTCCCAGCTCGCTAATAACCTCGGAAGGAGAAGCAGTTTCTCTGTCCAATCAAGTTAGGCAATAATAATTTGACTTTGTCCCCGTGGACAGAAACCCCTGGAATAGTTTGAGAGAACTACATTCCACAAACAACTGCATGACTCTCATTCTACCAAATTTCTAATTTTGGTAGGCTGAGCCTCAGTTCGATTTGGTACACATCTCTTAATTTTGTAATTTTCCTAATTACCAATAAGGTTTATGTGGAAGGGGCTGTATCTTCCTTTTCAATTAAACTGCATATATCTCAGTCGTTTTCTTCAATCACTCGGATTTGGGTCCCTCTGACAATAAAAATTGCTGCGTCGGTTGCACCTGAAATAAAACAGTAACCATTAAAATATCCACACCCACTACAAAACTAATGTCGTTCTCAACATACGCTTAACATTTATTCATGTTACAAGAACATCAAGAAAAATATAACAGGAACTTAGCAAAATTTGGATTTTATGTTTCTTCCCAGCGCCAGGTCTTCCTACCACTACCAGGGATAATTCCTGTTGAGGATCAGAAGCAGTTTGACTATGCTTAATCATGTATGTGAAGTATCACTGAACCTAGCTCTTACTTTCATTCAAAAGAAAAGATCAGTCAAGTACAAAATTAAAATATAATTATTAGTCGGTCACAGTAACTTAAACAGTAGTAATACACCGTCATACACAGTTCTTATCCTCCTACCTTAAAATTTACATCTAATTGCTGGAGCCAAAAGTAACACAAAGCTATTTGATTTCTTAATTAGTTATTGTATTTTACTTTATCTTTAAGATTGTATTTGATTCTGCATGATGTTTTTTGTGTTTATCCTTTAAATTTGATAATGTTAATAAATACAAGGAGGATGATTTTACCTGGTGAAAGATATTTTCAGCTTTTCTTTATTCCACGATTAATGTATATTAAGGGACCTTTGCTTTGGTCACATTTGAAGAAAGAGTTGAGATTTGCTAACCTGTAGCCCCAGATGATCTCAGTAGCTTTCATAGTTGGGATATTTTTATTCTATTAATATATTAGAATCACTTATCACTTAAGCCAAGAGCACGACCGACGTTTCTGTGATTATGATATTATGTCCCATCTTATTGATTAATTTAGTTGACCAAAATTAAAATAAATCTACCATTACAGATCCATCCGATTATCACATACAGTTGTCATAAAAACAGGATATTTTGCAATTGATATTAATAGTTATTTAAAAGCTTATATGATAATTTTCCTAAAGGAAAAGTTATGCATTATTCGATTTGAAAACCAACTCACAATCCTCCGTCAATGAGCTCGAGACTTTATTTATTTTTTCTTTTATGGGGAATATCTTTAATTTTACATGTCGTTTATGGCTCTGAGTGACTGAGTCGATCTGACGCCTGAACATATATGAATGTCTCTAAAGCTTTACAAAAGTTTAAAAGGAAAATTAATAAATAAAAAATCCCAAGACCAACGGAATTAACGGGTTTTTGGAGCCCAAAACATCTTTACTAAAGGGATGCGGTGAATTCTGCAGAGAAACTGAGAAAGCCGAAAAGGAAAAGAGAGCAGTACCAAGAACACATTGACCCCATAAAGCTATAGAGCTAACAGTAAATCTCTCCCAATTACAATTCAAACCATTACTTCTCACCACAATCACATACTTTTCTTCAGAAAATAGTTATTAATTATTAATATATTTATTTATTAATATATCCCCATCTCAATCATGCCACCGCACTCGCTAAATGCTTACCTTCTTGGCAGTGTGAAAATTATTCAAGCCTGACAACGCATAAATAATTACATTGAATATGATATTAATTAATTAGGATTTTGTTTGTTTAGGAGGGTAATTGTTAGGTACACCATTTCATCATATCACCTTCAAAATCAAACAGATTCAGATTTGAGAATCTTTGTTTTGTGTTGTGAACACTACAGCATTTCATTTTGTGCTGTCACAACTCCATGCTCTTCACTGCATTTTCATCATATAATATTATTCCTTCTCCTTTTGCTTCTTTTTCTCTTTTTATATGCTTTTCTTAGTACTGAAGGCCGAATATTTTTAAGTTGGTCATTAATAGCATGTTCTTAATCAATCTTTCTATATTTTCATCAAGAACCATAACTCAGATATGAAGGAGAAGAGGAAGATTAATTATATTACTATAACTGGCCAGTTTATAAAAATACGTATTCAGTAAGATACTTAATACGATTGGCTATAGATTTGATATATATTATTCGCTTTAATTTAATTGATTCTGGAAAACGTGACTTAAAATGAAGAACATTTTTTAGCAGAAGTCTCCAATAATTAATTTTGCAGTTTCTCTTAGTATCATTTCCAAAGTCCAGCAATTTAATTTCTGATTCTAATCCACAGATGCTTGCTACATATCTTTTATTTTCTTCTTATATTTTACAGCAAGGAGGAAAAGACTCCCACTATTGATGCATGCATAGCCTTTACATCTCTCCTCCTGGTTTTTAAGTATATCTATGAATATGCCTTAATGCCATCTATCCATCTGCAATGACTATGACCACCACCTCTCAAATCTCAACCGTCCTTTTGATGATAAGGCTAGACTTGTGGTGGGTTGTAGAAGGAATATTGAAGTTCATTCATTTTTTAAATTTTAACTTATACCGACCTGGATTTGAACAAGGAATATTTAAAAACATCAAAAAGACTAATAATAAAGAGTTTCATTTAGAGTTCATTGGCATGAATTTAGTCCTCATTGGTGAGGTCTATTTAAGGAGGCCGTTCGCCAATGTAGCTCAGGAATAAGGTCAGTAGGTGGCTTCCATTGGCGTTTGCTGCTTTACTCTCCCAAGGCTCCTCAAAACACCAATCTTGTTTAATCTCTCAAAAGCTGATTGATTTGTTTTGGTCTTCTGGCTACACTGGATGTTTTCAAAGATTTTCACTCTAAATGTCCAGTATAAAAAGATATGTTATATGGACAACTTGTATATTTCTGCGTAGCCATTGTCTACTTCATTTTCCTTTTTGTTTAAGAGGCTCATGGACCCATGGGCTACTCAGCAAGATACATCCCTCTCCTAACTTTACACAACAATATTTGTTTGCCTTACTAATCTAGCTAGCATCCTCTGAGTTTGAAGCATTTTAATGGTTAGTTGATCTTAAGCTCATTGGTTTCAGGATGAGTTGCGAGATGCTGTCTTGCTGGTATTCGCTAACAAACAGGATCTTCCAAATGCAATGAATGCTGCTGAGATTACTGATAAACTCGGCCTCCACTCCCTCAGGCAGCGTCACTGGTAAAATTGGCCGCTTTTTGCTGTTATTTTGTTAGCATCATGTTTTGGATGAGTTCTAATATGCTTCTGTTTTTTCAGGTACATCCAAAGCACCTGTGCAACCTCTGGTGAGGGTCTTTAAGAAGGTCTGGATTGGCTATCCAACAACATTGCTAACAAGGTGAGAAAGCATCCCATTTTACAAATTTTCTACAATTTGTAGGAACCAAACTGTGCTCAGTAGAAATTCTAAATTTAAAAGTATGTCGATCCAGCAGCATAAGCCTGCCCTCCATTTGTGGTCACTCAAATTCACTACATTGGGTTTTTTTACCATCATAGAATTTGATCTGTGCATTTTTTTATGCCTTGGTACTATATTCACTTTTTGCTGTTAGGTTTTTTCTGTTCTTAGTTTCTCTTGTTTTCTTGAATTGTAGGCATGAAGCCATTAAAGATCATTTGCGGACTGGCAATTCTGGATGCAGGGGTGAATATTATCTATTTTTTTTTTTTTTTTTTTAAAAATTCCTTTTTGCTTGAGACAGTTGGATTGTTGTTTTGCTATATTTGTTTTTAGGACCTTATGACTATATTGTAATAGAAGAATGGTTGGTTGGATACATGTACTTCCGAGCCTTCAGTTGGGTTTTAGATGTGATGCTTCTTTATGTAATTGAAACTAATTTGGTGCAACACCCCTTTTTGAATTTAGTTTTCTTTCATTGTGTTTCTATTGGAGGTGAGGTCATATTTATGTTTGATTAAGGTGGCCTAATTGGTTATTGAGCAAAGCAGTTCATCACTAACGACTGAAAACTTTTTGTATTTGGGTCGTGGTGTCATTTTAGCCTTTGTTATGTCATGCACATCTTTGTTTGTCAACCATGACAAAGTTGGAGATAACCCAAAAAGAACCTCATCTAATCGATCCGTTGCCAAATATCTTTGTTATGTGGTGAAAGTTGAGTGTTTTGACAAATAAAGATATCTAGTTTTGCAACTTGTTTGTAGGATTTTTATTTTGTGGGTCTGCTCCTTAGCGGGGCACGTGTTTTAGATGCAACAAGCGTGCTGAGGGTTATTGAATTAGAACTTAGAAGCATGTTGTATTAGGTCAGAATCAATCACCATTTCATATTACATAGTGTGGCGATTGTTGACAGCTCCCAATTGGGACTCGGTAGCCTCTCTGGTCCAGGTTACCATTTTTCATTATTCACAAAATCCCTATTTTGATCGTCAGCAAACGAGGGGTTACCACATGTTGGAGTTAGAGGGTTTTTGTAGAGTGGAGGTTGGTAGTTCAAAGGGTGGTGTTGGATTGAATTTTGGACATCGGAATAAGTCAGAGTTTGGTTGGCAAATTCAACCCAATATGCGAGTCATGGTCAACAAATGAGGGGCTATTAAGTGTCGGGGTTAGAGGGGTATTGTAGAGTGGAGGTCGGTGGTTTAGGTGGTGGTGTTTGATTGAATTCTCTGTTTTAAAAATCGGACCGGGACTTGGCAGCTTCTTCGGTCCGGTTCAGGTCGTAGGGGGTTTTTATAATATTTCAAAATTATAAAGGTTAATTTGTAATTTTATAAGGGTGTTTTGGAGATATGTCAAAAGTTTAGGAATTAATTGGTAATTTTTTTTGGGGCATCTTTGAAATAAATAAAAATTTTAGGGACTAATTTGAACTTTTTTAGGAGAATTTTTGTAATATATTAAAATTTGAGGGATTAATAATAATTTTTAAAAAATAAAATTGTCGTTGACGTCATCGGTCTAATCGATCGGTCCAACTGGTTGGACCGATTGACCTGTGTAACGCCCACTTTGAGGTATATAGCTTATTCATGTTTATTTGCCTTTAAAGTTGTGTGTTGGCCCTTAGTTAAATTGGTATGTTGTTAAAGTTGCTTGGACGCCTTGAATTTTGTGAAGGCTTGGCGAAATAGAGAATTACAGACTTCGTCGGGGCGAAGAATAAACTTTGCTGCAGTGACATACGCTTTGTATTTTTTCGTCGAGGCGAAGAGTTGGCTGATTTTCTTGTGAAGTTTCTAGAGGAATTTTTCATAGGGGTAAAGTGACCATTCTACCCCTAATTAGCAAGAAATGTGGGGAGTGAAATGTAAAAAAATTTCATGGAGAATGTATTGGAGATGGGATTGTATTTGTAAAGAATTAAAGAATAAAGATGAAATTTCTAAGAAAGTGTAAGGGTAAAATGGGAAAGAATGTTTATTTATATGAGCTAATAAGGGTTTAGCCTTACCAGCCCTCCCATTCTCTACACCCCATACATCACTTCCACAGAATAAGAAAGAAGAAGAGAGAGAAAAGAAAGAAAAGAAAAAAAAAGAAGAGCTTGAGCAAGAAAGAAAAGAAAAGAAATCGAATAAGAAATAGAAAAGAAAAAAAAAAATGCATTACTGCATATGCATGTCATTCATGCATGTTATCATGATTTTCATCATGGTTAGTGAGAATAAAAAAGAAAGAAAGAACAAAAAGAAAGAAAGAATAGAGAGAAAGAAGAAATAGAGAGAGTTAGAAAGAAAGAAAAGAATAGTGAGAACTAGAAACAATGAAGAAAAGAGAAAGAATAAAGAAGAAAAAAATAGAGTAAGGAAAGAACTCAAGGATAAGTCGTGGGGATGGAAAGAGTAGATGATTTGCTTATTGAACATTTTGTGCTTATCTCGTTTTCCATGTTTTGCAAGAAATATGTGAGAAGCGGTTGGATGGACGTCAAGAAGCAGAGAGAAATGGCACCATTGTAAAAGCTCTTGTATATGTTATTTTGTATTATGTAAAGAATTATATGTTTAGTAAAGAAAAATTTGGGTCCATCTACTTTTCATTTAGTAAGTATGCATGTTTTCATAGCATATTTTTCTAAGCATGCTAGTAGGAAAGAAGTTATTACAACCCGTGACCCGGGCAGTAAAACGGGTTGCCCTCTGATCCGAGTTTTAAAACAAGGATTGAATGTTGAACATCGGAATCACTTGGAATTGGGTTGGGAAAATCAACCAAATCGCGACAGTATACATGACTTATAGCCGACAAATAGGGGGCTACTAAGTTTTGGGGTTAGAGGGGTTTTATAAAGTGGAGGAAGGTGGTTCAGGTGGTGGTGTTAGATTGAATTTTGGCCATCAGAATTTTGTCAGAAAAGTCAAAACGCAAACAGATCACAAGGGTAAATTTGCTAGATTTTAAACCTGTAGGGATTGATAATTTTTAGGGGTGTGTTTGCAAGATTTTAAACTTTTTGGATGACCAATTAGGCCGTCGGTTTAACTGGTCGGAGTGGTCAACCCAGGACCCGATGGCCTTATCGAGTGCCTTAACGGGTCTGGTTTTAAAATAATGGTTGACAGTTGTATACAATTTTATTTATTGGTTTGTTGGAGTCCATTGCTAAATTTAATCTATAGTTTTAACAAATTATTTTCTTGTACGCAAGTAGTGAAAAACATGTTTGGTATTTTATTGCAAAGTGTTCTTTTAACTTGGATTCCTAACTTCAATCAACATAAAAATTACCCCATGACAATTTATTACAAATAGTTAAGCAAAATTTGTCATAACTAAAAAGTGGTCACCCATTTTCTCATCATAGTCATAGTTAGATAACTCAATTACGTGTATGAGAACTCTTATGAATTTGACCTATTTTTAACCTTTATTTATTATTTAATGATTAATAGATGAGAAATTATCAATTAAGGTATTAATTTTTAGCCTTTTTCAATGGAAAGACCGAAGTTCCCAATTGTTTAATTAAGAGATGTTTAATTAAGGGACATCTAATTTACTGTTAACTTCAACAAAAAATGATAAAATAACTTAAATGCCTTTGATTTTTTCTTTTCTCTTTTTTGGAAGTTAGTTTAGCTCTTACATATAAATTTAAAAATTAAAAAAAAAAAAAAAAGAAAAAAAGACTAAGACCAATTTTTTTTAGGGATATCAAAAAATAAAATAAAAAATTAAAGAAAATATAATAATAGCTTTTTTTTATTTTTTATTTTTTTTATTTTTATCTTTGGTTGTTTTCTAATTTTATAAAAAATAATAATTAAACATTTTCTAGTTTTCTTTTTCGTTTTAGTGTTTTTAATTTTTAATTTTTATTTTGTTAAAAAAATAAATTTGTTCAATTACGCATTTACCCTTATATAAAGCTAAATCTAACCCTAAGTAACTATTTACTGTTCTTTAATTGAAAAATTTGTAACTTATGTCTTTCTAATAAAATTTGAAAAGTTTGTACCCTAACTAATAATATCCCTATGTCTGTAGTTTTAGGTTATGAGTTTTTGTCTCAATGATAAAATAAACGAACAAACCACTACTGGGTGGCCCTGTGGTCAACTAGGATTCTTGGGTGTATTACTCAAGAAGTCCTAAGTTCGATCCACTTGGATTGCTAATAGGGATGACCATTGAGAGGATTTACCCGGTTATCAACTTCAAGGCCTTGACAGATTAGTTGAGGGATTAGAATTCCACAATCATGTCATGTGCTTTTGTGGGAGTTAATGGAAATTTTAGTTCTTAACGATGGTAAAATATTTAGTCCCCATATTCTAGAAAATAGTGACATTTACCCCCTTATTGTTAAAATCCATTAGTAAAACCTAGAGGTGGGCAGGGACCGGTCCCAAGCAGGCCCAGGCCTGGGCTCGTTTGGGACTGGTCCCTTTGGGACTGGTCCCAAATGGGACCAGTCACTCATGGGCCTAGGATCGGTCCCAGGCCCATGAGAAAAATTAGGACCCGGACCAGGCCTTACGCCTGGTAGGGACTGGTCCTATGGGCCCAGGACCGGTCCTAGGACCAGTCCCATGGGGCTTGGATAATTAATTTTTCCCCCCTCAATTTTTTTTATATTTTGGGGGCAAAATGAAATTTTATGAGGGTTTTTTAGGGTAAAATTTATAAATTTTTTAGACATGGAAGATTTTTTTTTTAATAAATTTTGTAAAATTTTATTTTAGCCCTCTTAATTTATATTTATTTTCAAATTAACAGGGGGTTTTATGAAATTTGGCAGGAGACTATATTGAAAAAATATAAATTTTTTTGGGCTCAGGCCTGGGAATTGGAGGAGGGCCTAGTGGAGGGCTCGGGCCCTCCTCCTTAGGCCTAGTCCTGTTTTGGGACCAGGCCTCCTAGGTCTGGTCCTCTCGAGGACCGGTCCTAGGACCGGGTTTTGGAGCTGGGCTTTTGGGCCCGGTCCCAAATGCCCAGCTCTAGTAAAACCTATTAAAAATTATGTCAAAAAACTCAAATACCCTTAAATATAACGAAATTAAATTCTTAATCTTTCCAAATAAAAAAATCAACATGAATTTTTTTGCCAAAATTGTTTGATTACTAGGCAAAACATGAATCTTTTAAACAAATCATCTCAATTAAATCTCAAAATAAATAAAAATTGAGGTTATATTTAAAGGTATTTATACATGAGTATTGCCACTCATCCCAAACATTTATCCAAAATTTTACATTCCAAATGATGCATCAATATATGTGTATTAACATATCGTTCAATACATCATTATTTTAATTACATGTCAATACCACAAAGGATAACAAATTACAATACTTATGATATGAATTTGGGATAAGTTGTTGGGGAAAATGCTGTTATTGTTTATACATTTATTGTCAAATATTCCCTTCATTAGTTGATATTTGTGTAATAGTTGTTGAATTTATGAGAATAAA